CATACTTATATAAAAGCTGAGTACTAAAAAGTCAGGACAATGGGAGAGAAAGGAGGGAGAAGAGGGGACAAAGTGAAATGGAGGAAGGAGAAAAAGCAGCACTCTTGAAAGACCATGTATTTTGAGGTACCCTCATATGACAGTGAGGCTGAACATTCCCATCTCAGGCCACGCCCTCTTTCGCATTTTGTCAGATGACGTTTCGCTCACCAAGTCCTATTCTGTCCCTAAATTCCAACAGACTTTGGTAAATAATAAGGTTTAGCAATGAACACTTCATATGTCTGCCTTGAGATGCTATAGCCCTCGACACATGATAAGTGCCACTGGCTTTAACCCTTACAGAGGAGCAAAGCCCTGTTGGCCCCAGCAACTCAGAAGGCTCTTCCATCTGCTGTTCTCAGAACAATCCTCTTTAAAGTCCACATTCAAAACAACACTCCTGCAAAAACTGAGAGAAATTTGAATTCAGGGCATGGTGTGGGAAGAGAGACAAAGAGTGAGGTGGGAGGAGGGAGAGGGAAAGGCAAAAATTTTTTTAAAAGATTGTATTTTTATATAATCACATGCTGTTTTTCCTTAAAAGGCCAAACTTTATGCAAGGCATTCATTCAATGAGTGTGCACACAGAGGCTGAAAACCCTTTGGCAGGAACATAGAGGTAGGAATTTATGACTGCAAGATTGGGCTGGATGAACTGATAGGTCCCATCCAAGAAACGCAAACTTCACACACATCTTTCTTGGATGATCTGGCAAAATCAGACTACCCCATAGAAAAATCAATTTTGTTTCCTATATCTCTTCAAAACTTTACTCAGATCCAGATGTTTAGAAATGAGAATGTGGCCAGCAAACATTTGGGGAGTAACTTAAAGTTGCTAACAGCGACTAGTCTCAGAACTTCTCTCCTTGGAGCAAGCAACTGAAATTGAAACCCAGCAAAGTCCACTGATCACCCCAGGCTCACTACACCGAATGAACTTCAGATTTACACAGCTCCTGAGCTCTGATCTGAGGAACTTTCACATTTTTCTTTTTGACATCTAATAAGGACATATTAGGAGGCTAAAAATATAGATGAAAAATGTGCTATCAAAATTCTAGACAATCTACCTAAAGCTTATCATTTAGAAAACAGCAACAGATGCTGCATTCCTTCAGAGCAGATGTCTTGGGTCAGCTCTCTCCATAAAACTAGACTGCCTTGAGCCAAACATTGCTTCGAGTTGCTAGTCTGCTTAGAAAGCCGGGCCTTTGGGGGATTACTTGAGGTTTTCTCCCCTTGAAGCACATGATCAAGCAGTTTATAAATGTCAGGACGTGTGGCATGGGGGCACAGGATGGCTTTCCTTCTACCATCTTACACCATTCATATATTTCTTACCAGAGCTTTTACACAGTCATAACTTTCAATTTCCTCCCCACAGGGAATCCAGGAAATCCCAGAGGTGTTAAAAAAGATCAAGGTTTTAGGACACTTAAATTCTGATCACATATTTAGACATCTTTTTTTTTAAGGATTCACTATTTTACTTCCCACTTACTTTCTAAATTCTCAATTTTTCTTAGAGTTTCTAAGAGCTCAATGCTCTATGCACTACCAAAAAGACGTTCTTCTGTTTTCTCTAAACTGATGGGCAAATGCAGGCTCATTTGGCTCTGATCCAGTGTAGAGAAACCAGTCTCTCACAATACAGTATGGTCAGTCATAAGTAAGTACTTTGGCAATATAAAACACAGTGCTCATTTCAAATCCTCAACATTGTCTTCACTATCATTATTAAAAGCTCAACTTCAAAAATTGCACTGTTCATGATTTTTTCCAAAACAACAGATAGTGTGGGAAAACAAATACATCTTCCTGCTCATCACCTAACAACACAAACCAAAATCAACACCCAACGACAACAGGTGATCGAACTACTTAAAATATACAGCAATTGCTAATTTCCATAATGGGCTCTATTTCATGCTAGGTTTTTGAAAACATATTTGTTCCCCTCCCACCTGAATTGGTTCATAAGATCTTGGTTGTGAATTACTTTGCAGTCTTAGACCACACTAAGTCTCCATTACTTTATCATTCTCATGTTCAAACAGAATTGAAGGTCAGCTAGAGAAACATATACTGTGCTGCTCTGTTCTTCCTGTAAAGGGTTTAGATTCAGCCTTTGGTGCCAAAACAATTGAATTGCTTTTCAGTTCAATCAGCAAATTAATCGTTTGCTCCGCCAGCTGGCAAATTCAAAGTACCATCAATGTCAGATTATCCACCAGAGGAAATCTGTTTTGTGGATCATACCACCTCTACTCCACAGCTGGGCTGAGCTAGGACACTGGGGCCATAGAAAGAGGAGAGAAATGCATTGGAATAAGTTTTTAACCAAACATCCAAATAGAAATGATCTTTCAAGTCACCATTTTGCATTACTGGTTCCCTGCTTTTTCCCTCCAACATAACTAATCATGCATTAACTGTTTTTGCTTCTTTAAATTCAAGATCTGAAGATACAAAATATAGCAGTTAGACTTTTACAGATCTACAGACTCCCACTCCTCTCATGGTTGGATGTCTACCAGATAATTTTCCTAACTCTGTTGAAACTTTTATCCTAACTCTGTTGAAACTTTTATTTGGCATTCTTTTGTAAATCCTTTCCTTGTGTCAGGCAATTTTCTTTTTCAATATCAAAATAGTCTTATCTTAATTCATTAATTTTTAAATCACAAACTATCTAGTCTTTTGCCATTGAAGCTACTGACAGACCTCCTTATGCTGGAGGTCTGTTTGTTGCTCAGATATGTTCAACTGCTAACTATGGCAATGGCAGAAAGACCATTCTCCTCTCTCTGAAGACAAGAAACTCAAAGTGTCAAGGTGCTGAGCCAGCAGTCTAGTAGAGAGCTCTAGCCACAATCAGCCAAACTTTAAGCCAAGTCATAGGATTGGACATATAGTAGATACCACACACTATAGCTACTTCTAGCATATGAACTACAAGGATTCCTGAGGAGCTGAGGTTAATGAATGAGATTTATCAGGAATGAGGTATCAAAGGGACATTGTCATTCTCTGAGGGTCAACTGGTACTTAGCATCTACAAAGTATACCTTAGCACAGTGTTATCTGATTTTTTGAATTTATTCTCTGAAGTAGCACCTTAACACTGGCTCATCTGTCTAAAATCAAGAACAGAGTCTTGAAGAAACACAAAGGTAAACTTAAGACACCCTCCATATTGTTGCTGCACTATGAAATATGACCAAACCTTTCACTGCCATCAAATACCAGAAATAGTAATATTTCCTGTTTTGCAAACTTTAGGGGGAAAGGACTGCTAATAAGACAGGTATTGAACCAGAAATATACAGATAAGAACTTTGATTTCTATATAACATACAGGGTAGTTGCGCAAACAGTCTCATCTCACATGAAGGAATCAGTGGCATGGAAAGAACAAAAGATATAAAGTTACCGAGCCATGACTATGATACAATGTACCCTAGAGAGTGTTTTTTTTTTTTCTCTTTCATTAAAATGCTAGAGTGATATCCTCACAAGGAAAAACTCTGGTGACTGCCTTGATATGTTAAAGATAAAAATAAAATAAGCCTTGGCTATCCAGTTCTGAGCAATAAAAGAATTTCAGATTTTGTAAAGAACTAGGGGTAAAAAGCCCTAAAATTGGGGCTCAGCAACATTTAAATGAGGTATACTGAGGCATTTGAGGGGTGGAGGGTTGGGAGGAATATGCCAAGTGACTTTGATTCTGGGCTAGAAGACAGTAAGAAGTGCTGGGAACAGATCTATAAAATGAGCCAGGCTGAACTCTCACCCCTGGCAGTGAAGTCTTGCTGCCTTGGTCATCCAGTGTGGAAATGGAGGCATGGCAGCAGCAAATGGGGCCACATGGCAAAGAAAAGGGCTGTGTGTCACCTCTGGTCCATGTGCTATAAGACTGTTGAGCCTTGGTTTACAATTTAATTAGCTCTAGGAGTTATTTCTTGTAATAGGAATGATTAACCAGGAACAGTTCAACCCCAAAGAGAGGAGTCAGTACTAAGAAGTAGAAAGGGGAACAGACTGATGGGGCAGTAATTGCACATGGGTAAAACTATAAAAAATGAAATCATGGTTGGAATGATGGTGGTGGCTCTTTAATTCCACTGGGTATCCCTAGAGTGTGATTTTTTAAAATTGCAATCAAGGTGGTATGAAATTGAGACAGGCACCTTTTCAAATGGATGCAAGCACCTTTGGTGTCACCAGGCCTTGTCCATACCCCTGGGTCTTAGAATGGCTCTGCATTTTATTTAGAATTTTTTTGTTTGTTTGTTTTGTTTTGTTTTGAGTTGGAGTCTCACTCTGTCGCCCAGACTGCAGTGCAGTGGCTGCTCCCGGCCACCGCAGCCTTGACCTGCTGGGCTCTGGCGATCCTTCCGCCTCAGCCTTCCAAGTAGCTGGAACTACAGGTGCGCGCTACCGCGCCCGGCTAATTTTTTGATTTATTGTAGAGATGAGGTCTCGCCAAGTTACCCAAGCGGGTCTCGAACCCGCGGGCTCAGACAATCTACTCACCTCAGCCTCCCAAAGGCGCGGGATTACAGGCTGAGCCACCTAGTCCGGTTTATTTAGAATTCTAAACATTCTCAAAGGAGTCACAGCTGTCTATCCTGTTCCAATACCTTGAATATATTTGAAAGTATCCAAAGCTTAATTCATGCTCACGGGAACAACACTGGCCTGTTATATGTCCTTAATACCGGGAGGTACAATGAATGTCCAGTTGTTTTAGTACTGGTGGTCTTTAAAAGGAATGCATGAGGATGCAGATGCAGTTCTGAATCTTCCCTGGTTTACCAGTATGCAGTCTAGAGTTGGTTCCCTTTACTGTTCTTACATATTCCAGAAGCCTAAAGCACCATCATTCATGGAGGCGGCATCTGGGTAAGAGAATTAGGTAGGACTTCACAAAAATGTGAAATTCCTAGTCACTGACTTTGCTTAGAACTTTCCTAATCATTCATTTCAAGGAAGCTGGAAGAAATCATTCCTTGCCACTAACAAATTCATGGCAAAGTCCTTGTCTACTAGCTTAACAAATACCATCTGGAAAATTACCCTTTTTGCAGACAAGGAGAAAGCTCTATAACTTATCTTTGTGCACTTCAAAAGAGTACCAGGAACAAGCAAGCTATAAACGTCAACCTCTCTAGATTCATTTTGAAGAGATTAACCAAAGCAGCATTGTCTTATAATCAGAAATTAAAATTAACATATACATACACACATAACAAACTAATAATGCTAAATATTGTAACAGAAACAAGGATAACATTTTAACTGAATCTTCACAGTCTAGAAAATACCACTACAATTTTCCTTCTGGCTTTCCTTTATGTGGTTTGAAAAGTAAAACCCCTTAGTTTACACTTCATCTTCTACCAATGACAGTTAGATCCCCAAAAAGTGACTTTTTCATCACTTTCCTGCAGGCTATAGGTCAGGACGGTTGGAATTTTCCTTGCATAGTTTTCAGAGATTGCATATTGGCTAACAATTATTCTTTAAATTTAAAAAAAATCTTAAAAAAACAAATAGAATTAAAACCATAGCAATCTTGTTTACTCTTTCATGAAATCTTCCTAATGCAATATCACAGAAGCCTAACTGTATTTTCTCCTAAAGAGATGATTAATTTCCAGAGATTATGTAGTGCAACTGGTTAACTTGTAGGAAAGAGACAACAGACTAATATGACTTCACCATCCATATGTGGGAAATGTGTTTTTGGGTACCCAGTTAATAAAATATATCCACGGTCTGCAATGTCCTTCCAGTTTTATATCCAGAGTGCTATCTCTAAAGATTCTAGTTGAAGAGAATGGAATCAGGATCTTGGTTCGCCATCTGTGCTATATGCTTTAACACATCCTTTTTGGTGATGATTCCAAGCAATCGCCTAAAAGACAAACGCAACACAACAAAGCAAAAATAAATCTGCAGTTAAAAATACCATTCCCAAAGGTGACACTTGTCCTCCTCAGTCCTTTTCAACCTTGCTTCTGACCACTAGTTGCACTTCCAGAATGAGGAGACAACAGGAGTAGGGTATGTGTTCCAGGTAAACGGGAGACAATGCATGTGTTCCTAAATGTATGCAAGCATTTCTACCTCTAGGTCTCAGACCCTGCGATTCCCTCTATTTTAAATATCCTTCTCTATATTTCTGAATCTTAATTACCTACTGCAGCCCAGTTTAAACTCTCCTCTTCCAGACCCCTTCCCTGATCCTACAAGACAGCAGTAACTCTGGTCTCCTCACAGCAGCAGCATGTTCTATGCAGGTCTCTTCCAGGGCACCTGTCCTCTTTGCTACTGTACTATAACCACTGCTGTGTTCTTGCCTTCCCTATAACACTGCACACTTCTTGAGGGCACAGAATGGTCTTATTCATTGTTGTGTCTCCCCAGAATCTAGTGGAATATCTTCTTACATGGAGTAGGGATTCAGTAAATGTTGAATTCACCAGTTAGGGAAAGGCCCCTTACTGATTTCAATCCTGCAAGACGTCTGTTATACCACTTAGACATTTCAGAAGAGGTAAAATTCTTATATAATTGCTGGATTAACACACCACGTTTGGGGAAAAAAACTACCCCTCTTTTCAACCTCCTTCTTTTCTAATAAAAATAGCAGGGCTTCCTTTACTAGATAAGAAATCCAGTACGGATTTCCCAGGAAGGAAAGAACCTTGGGCTTGGGAGTCAGGAGACTTGTGTTTAAAGTCTACTTCTATTATTTATTAACTTGGGACCCTTGTGTAAATCATTAGATCTCACTGAAACTTGGTATTCTCATCCTGAAATAATAATATCAAGGATATTGTAAGGACCAAATACTACAAATATACTATCTCATGCCATTATAATTTCAGTGCTGCCTATGCACAAGAACACAGCTGTTTCCTTTGTGGGGGAGGAACTGAGTTATTTATAATGTGCAACTAGCAGTTCACATCTCTCAAACACACACACACACATTCTTCCCTCAAACTCCTTTTCCATGAATTATGATGATAAAAGAAACACATCTATCTTCATCTCAGAGCTTCAAAAAGGCCTACAAGTGTAACTAATGCTCATTTAAATTGGGTTCTCTTTTCTCTCTCTACATTATCTTTTCTCCCACAATCCAGTTTACCTTTACTCAAGAGTTCTTACCCATTGTGTGTAACCAGGCACTGCCGCAGTCCCAGCTTTCGGAAGATGTCCACTACGATCTCCATGGGCGTAAGGTCAGTCACAGTGAAGGGGCTGAGGTCCAGGATGTTCCGAAGCTTCAGAGTGGGTGGAGTGTATGGTGGCATTGGAGGAGAATGCTCAGTGAAATAAATGATGGAAGTGCTCACAACCCCATCCTGTTTCTTTCGAGCATTTTCTATTTGAACAGAAGGAAAAAGAAAGTTAAAGGTGGAAGTGCTAGTTCTATGTACTCTTCTGGCCCCTAATCAGTCCCCTCTTCCCTTCGTCTTCCCCCATTTTGCGCATATTTATTGAGACCATAGTAGATTCCATTATCCCCTTTCTGAAATCCTTACCAATTGAAATAATGAGATCTCTTCGGAGGACAAAGCCTACAAGTCTTTGAGACTCCCGAGACACCACCACTGGGAAGCCACTGTAAGTGGTTTCACTGATTATGGTCTCTACATCTTCCACAGTCATACTGTCCTGAGTAAGGACAGTCAACAAGGGATCATTTCTCCGGGGTTTCATCACATCCATTGCCAGGGTTTTATGAGCAAACTCTTCTTTGGCTTCAAGAAAGGGATATCCATTGAGACGGATATGTGCATCATAGATGCCCTCCCGCCCAAGAGCATCTGCCACCCACTTGCTTGTCATGGCTGCAGCCATCAGAGGCACAATGTACTCCAAGCCACCAGTCAGTTCAAACATTATGACAACAAGAGAAACAGTCATCCGAGTCACCCCACCTGCAAAGAAATAGACATAGGCTACCAACAGAAGGCCAAGTACAGGATTTGTTACAATTATGGGCCTGTCCAGGAAAAGCTGACTTACCAGAAACAATGCTAGAAAGCGGTCTCACCTACAACTGCGCAGACCCCAGAGATCACATTAAAGTAAGGTTACAATGGACACGATTCAGATATCTCAAAATAACATCTACAAGATGCCTTCTCGATCTTTTTTTTTCATTTGTCTGTTGCTTCTTTTCCCTAATTAGAGAAGCAATACATGCCCATTGTGGAAAATCCAGAAAATATAAAAGAAAGTCATTATCCATCAGCTCACTGCCTATAAATGAGCAGAGTAAAAATTTTGAATGCCTTTTCAGGTTTTTTCTACGTAAAAACGTGTTTTTACATAAGTGAGCTCATAGTATATGCTTAATTTCCCACCATGCTCCCCCAATTTATATTGGGAACATTTTACATATTATTACAAATTTATATAACATCATATTTAAAGGCTGCATAACATCCATATGGATGTATCATAATTTACTTAACCAGTCCCTTACTATGTACATTTAGGGTGATTTTAATTTTTTGTTCTTATACAATGATGCACATTCTTGTGCAGATATTTTTGTCCAAATTTCTGGTTATTTCCCCAGTATGAGAGAATAGAATTAGCTTTCTTAACATGTTTGGAAAATGGCAAACCCAACAGGAAATAGTCATTAAAAAATCCTACAGTCAGCCGGGCTCGGTGGCTCAGCCTGTAATCCTGCGCCTTTGGGAGGCTGAGGTGAGTGGATTGCCTGAGCCCGTGGGTTCAAGACCCACCTGGGCAGCAAGACCTCATCTCTACAATAAATCAAAAAATCAGCCGGGCGTGGTAGTACATGCCTGTAATTCCGGCTACTCGGAAGGCTGAGGTGGAAGGATCGCTGGAGCCCAGCAGGCGAGGCTGCAGTGGCCGGGAGCGGCCACTGCACTGCAGTCTGGGCAACAGAGTGAGACTCCAACTCAAAAAAAAAAAAAAATCCTACAGTCAACTGTGTTTAATATCACTCTTAGTTTGTATGTTGCCTGGGTAGCAACTTCTTTGAAATCAATGCAGACACTACTCACCTAAGCAGGCTGCAGCTCCAACCATTGCATAAAGGCCAGGGGTAATGCAATCAGCTCCCTGACTACACCAACTATTGAAGATGGTCCAGTCATGGTGGTAATAAGCCAGTTGTTCCATTCCTACTCCTAGAAGTCGACCTGCTATAGCACCAACAGCCATGCTAGGGATAAAGAGGCCAGAAGGGATCTGCAAAAAGAAAGCAATAGATGGTTAGTGAGAAATGATGCAATTGCTTAACATATGGTAAGGGCTGGAGGACCGACCCTCTGCGAAGCAAACAGGCCAATGACAATTTAACTATGCACTATGCTAGCAAGTGGCTGTAAAGATTTGTGTAATACTACAGGGACTAGAGGTTCTCTGGGACGTGCAGGCAAGAATGACTGCAAAGAAGCTTACCCTGATTCGGGGTCCATCAGGCAAGAGCCTGAACTCTCCAGACCAACACAGAACTGGAGGCAGAAATTAGGCCTTTCCCAAAGAAAAAGGAAAATAGATGGAGTTTCTCATATATGCAGACATTTCCACCAATTTTGAATTCTTATCAATAGTAACTACCCGTTATTGGCTATCTACCATGTTCCATACTGGATGCTCTACAAAAGAGATTCCTCAGTTCTTTATAACCCCAGGAAGTAGGTGTTATTAGTCCCAAATTACAAAGAACCTAAGGTTCAGAGAGGTTAAGTAACTTACCTAAGGTCAAGATTTAGTAAAGACTAGTGCTGGGATTTAAATGGAATGCTCATATATTGAATTGTAACCCACTGCTCACACAAAAAGGATGGCATATAAGATTTCAGTTTATTTTGTAACAGCGTCAAGAAAGATTAAACAATTACATTTTAAAATGAGATATTGACTATGGTTGCACGTGAACCAAAAAGGGACCCTTATCTACCTCCCCACTCTTTTGACTCCTAGAATACCATAGTGAATTCTTAATACTCACTATGAGAGGAAAATGATGATAAGGATAATCAAAATGGCAGATTGTTTTTAAACAGCCTGTTTTTTATTCTAGAATGCATTTGAATCTGGTGTTCTGATGGCCTATAACATCCCTTTAAATGAAAGAACAAAGGTATGAAGTGAAAATTAACTCAAGGTCGGGCTTGGTGGCTCAGCCTGTAATCCCAGTACTTTGGGAGGCCACGGTGAGTGGATTGCCTGAGCCTACGGGTTCGATACCCACCCGGGCAACTTGGTGAGACCTCATCTCCAATAAATCAAAAAATTAGCCAGGCATGGTAGCGCGTGCCTGTAGTTCCAGCTACTTGGAAGGCTGAGGTGGAAGGATCACTGGAGCCCAGCAGGTCGAGGCTGCAGTGGCCAGGAGCAGCCACTGCACTCCAGTCTGGGCGATGGAGTAAGACTCCAACTCAAAAAAAAGAAGAAGAAGAAGAAAAGAAAAGAAAATTAACTCAAGAAATACTACAAATTTTTCCAGGTTTTCCATTCCACCCCTGTTGGCGTCATCTCAGAGATGACAGCATTGCCTAAGCTGAGTTGCTGTCTCTTCTTTTTTGACTTAAATCTCCAGTTTTCTAGAGAATAGAGGGAAATAACTTGGTAGTTGGGTGCTAAAGAAACAAACAAATTAAAACCTAGGAAGAAGGAGGAAAATACCTTAACAAATTTTCCTTTCTGGCTTCTTCTGAAATATCAAAATGGTAACAGTTGCTGAAAGCACAATGTGCCAGCCTGATGTATGCTTTTGATAGTTTAAATATTAACTTAGGATCACCTTTGAAATGAATCCCACTTATTGACAGTTGAACATTGATAACGACTGTAAAAAGTATATTTAGTTACATATTGGGTTATCTATAGGAAATTGCTATTTTAGTGGTCAAAATGACGAAATATCAGCAACTTCTTTGGTTCAGTCAATATTGTGCCTTATTGGTAAACTCTAAAGCTACTCTATAAGGACTAACACTGTGTTGGTCAGATATTGTTGTTGTTTTTTTTTTGAGTTGGAGTCTCACTCTGTCACCCAGACTGGAGTGCAATGGCACGCTCCCAGCCACCACAGCCTCGACCTCCTGGGCTCCAGCAATCCTTCCACCTCAGCCTTCCAAGTAGCTGGAACTACAGGCATGCGCTACCACACCCGGCTATTTTTTTTTTTAATTGTAGAGACGAGGTCTCACCAAGTTGCCCAGGCAGGTCTCAAACCCGCGGGCTCAGGCAATCTACTCGCCTTGGCCTCCCAAAGTGCTGGGATTACAGGCTGAGCCACCGAACCCGGCCAGATATTATTTTTATATCAAACGCACTGGAATAAAAACCTCGCCATCCTTTTTGAGGGGCAAAATGTTTTCCACAGGAAAGGAGAAAACATTTCTTCCTAAAATTTTATCACCAAGATTGGCATTTGGTCTAAAACTCGGCTTGGACAATTAGAGATAGAAGCACAACTGACTAGGAAGTTATGAGAACATGTGAGGGTAAAAGAAGTTTTTGGGGGTGGAGGACTAATGTTGGGGGGATTTGAAAGTGTCCCATGAGCTATCAGGACTGTATGATACCTGGGTTTTGCCCTCCAAAACCCACAGCCACTGAGTTCCAAAAGAATTCCTCCTCACCTTCATGCCAAAGGTGAATATAGTAATGACAATTTTCAGTATGAGGGTCAAAGCCAGCTGCCACATTGCACTGTAGACTCCCACACCAGCCGGTCTGTCAGGCAGTTCACCCCCCTTGCTTGTGTTGAAACGGTTCTCATAATCACAGAGCTTGGAAGAGTCCAGAAGGCCACAGTCATTAAACAGCTCAGAAATGAGCTCACTTGTGCTCATACGGGTATATTCATTGGGGAAAGCCAGGATGGCAGTGATGGCTGTCACGACGAGTACCTCTATGACAGGATACTTGCCCAACTGGGTGGTCTTTCGCTTCCGACACCAGGCAATATTTGTGCGGATAAACAGAGCTCCCCACAGACCACCAAATATACCCAGCAGAATAAATGGCACAAGCTCAAAGAGATGCCATGGGGTGTGAAACTCCACATAAAATAGAACCAGGCGGCTGTTTCCAAATGGATTGATGGAGCGTAGAGTAAATGCAGCCACCAAGGCAGCAAAGAATGAACGCCACAATGTTTTGAGGGGAAAATAGTAGCTGACCTATAAGAGAGAAAATGAGAGAGCAAGCTCAGTCAATATGCCGAAACCATTTCAAGTAAAAAGGTGGAGCTGCAGACATTAGAGTCCACTCGAGGATAAAAACTGTCTGTAGTCCCAGCTACTCTGGAGGTGGAAGTGGGAGGACTGCTTGGGCTCAGGAGTTTAAGACCAGCCCAGGCAACATAGCAAGACTTTGCCTCTTAAAAAAAAAAGGATGAAAAATGCCTAGGGATTTCCAGTCACATGGTAAAGCACCAACTTGGGCAGAGCACTTAGGGACTGCAATGGATATAGATATTTTATATTATGTACAAAAATACTGTACATAATGTACAAAATTTCTGACACAAAATCACGCACATCCTCCACAGACAGTTAAAAGTCATTACCTCTTCAAGGCTGAATAAAACTCCACCAATAGGTGCCCCAAAGGCTACAGACACACCAGCTGCTGCTGCAGCCGACAAAACCTACAATTCAAAACTTAAAATTAGCAATAGAATAATGATGCTTTCCCATGTTCAATCACATTTTTTAAAAAAATGTTAGTGGTTACTAAACATTAAAAAATACCTTTACATTCTCCACATCATCAAAAATAAGGTTCAAACATTGCATGCTGAATGTTGAACACACATTCATGGTTCACATGCTTGACCAAGTAAGAAGGCCTTTCCTCTGGAATTAATTTAGTCATGTGCTTTATTCTAAATCATGCCCCTCATTTCCAGTACTCCCAATTCAGTAACTGCATTTGAGTCTGTAGACCTATATATTCTCCATCTAAATGAAGTACTTACAGTGATGTATTTATATAGCACTTTGTAAAGGAATACTTTTTAAATGAGATGCTAAAGGAGGCTGTAACAATACAAAACTGAAGTCACAACCGGCTCACAGCTATTCAGGAGCTGCAAATATTCATGCAATAGGTATTTACAGTTTCCTGTACTCTGTGTCCTATTCCATGCCCAGTGACCCATGGAAACAGAAATGGGGAGGCGACTAGATTTTTAAGGGAAGAGAACACCCTGTGGCAAGGAAAGGGGCTAGGAGGGAGAAGGAGAGGAAGAAGCAGCCAGAGAGAAAAAAGGGTAATGAAGGAAAGAGAAGAGTGATATTTAGAGAGCACCGCCTCTGTGTGTGGACACGTGTGTATATTAAATGTGTATAACAACCACTAGTGATGGCAAACAAACCAAAACTAACAGAAGGATCAAGTCCTTTCATTGGATTCTAGTTGCTGTGGAGAGAGAGATGGAGAAGTAAGGAAATAGTTTAGAGAAAGTTGAACAAAATTAGGAGTTTTGAAGAATAAAAAGGTCCTAGGCAAAATAATCTGGCAGGTTTCTCTGGGAGTATAGGATGGCCCTGGAAAATGAGGAGGGAGGGTAAGATCTTCAGTTCCAGTTCTGAAGCCTTTTGAAATTCACAGCTACAAGGCTATCATTTGAGGACCACCAACATGCAACTTGAGAAAGGAGATTTCAGTGACTGTTTAGGATGAATTAGGAAGGAGAAGAAGAATCAGCCTGGCTAGTTTGCTTTAATTTTATAGACTAGAGTTGAGTCTATGTGCTTTCTTTTCAAATCTGTTTTATTTTATTCTCAGCCATCTGCTGAATTTGACAAGGCCACCAGACCCGAAAGGGTTGCCACTGATGGTGCTACCAACAGGAAAGACTAACTGGAAAGTTAAATAAGCAATAGGAAGTAAATTTAAGATTCAAACATAGGCATGCACTACATAATAACGTTTCAGTCTATGACAAACCACATATAACACAATGGTCCCATACAATTATAATACCATTTTTGTTTTTAAGTTGGAGTCTCACTCTGTTGCCCAGACTGAGTGCAGTGAAACGCTCCCGGCCACCGCAGCCTCGACCTGCTGGGCTCCGGCGATCCTTCTGCCTTAGCCTTCCAAATAGCTGGAACTACAGGCGTGCGCTACCACGCCAGGCTCATTTTTTTGATTTATTGTAGAGATGAGGTCTCACCAAGTTGCCCAGGCGGGTCTCAAACCCATGGACTCAGGCAATTCACTCACCTCAGCCTCCCAAGGCACGGGATTAGAGGCTGAGCCACCGAGCCCGGCTTGATAATACCATATTTTTACTGTACTTTTTCAGTGTTTAGATACACAAATACTATTGTGTACAACTGCCTATAGTATTCAGTACAGTTACAAGCTGTACAGGTTTGTAGCCTAGGAGCAATAGGCTATACCATACAGCCTAGGCGTGTAGTAGACTGTATCATCAAGGTCTATGTAAGTACACTCTATGATTTTCACATAACACCGAAATCGCCTAAGGATGCATTTCTCAAAGTGCATCCTGTTGTTAAAGTACACACAACTGTATTCATGAGTCTAGTCAGACAAACATAGAGCATCTGCCAAATCAAACTCTCTTCTTATTTTTCAAGGAACCATTTGAGCAAAAATGCCAATTTTATAGAATGAAAGTAGTTTCAAATTCACCTTCACCTATGCAAAACCAGCAACAATCAACACTTTATTCTTACCCATTAAAATGTTTTTTCAACTCTGTAGCTTCTGTTGTACACTGTTACTGTTTAACAGCCTCACCAATTAACATTGCCTTTATGTTTCTCTACCACATGACAGGTAGCTAAAGAATCTACTCATATTTCCCTATCTGTCTCCTGCTAGCTTTTTTTTTTTTTGAGTTGGAGTCTCACTCTGTCATCCAGACTGGAGTTCGGTGGCCGCTCCCGGCCACCACAGCCTTGACCTGCTGGGCTCCAGCGATCCTTCCACCTCAGCCTTCCAAGTAGCTGGAACTACAGGCGCGCACTACCATGTCCGGCTAATTTTTTATTTATTGTAGGGATGAGGTCTCGCCAAGTTGCCCAGGTGGGTCTTGAACCCGCGAGCTCAGGCAATCCACTCACTGTGGCCTCCCAAAGTGCTGGGATTACAGGCTGAGCCACCGAGCCCGGCCCAGAAAATCGTTTTTAATGAAATAACCTTGGTATTAACCTATTCCATATGTGATTTGGTTGTAATTCAAGGAAAATAAAGCAAGAGCTATTATTATCTTGGATCCTTAATTATAGCAAGACAAAAGTAAGCCAATGGCTTGAAACTTTTTTTTCTTTTTTCTTTCTTTTTTTTTTTTTTTTTTTTTTGAGTTGGAGTCTCACTGTGTCACCCAGGCTGGAGGGCAGTGGCACGCTCCCGGCCACCGCAGCCTCAACCTGCTGGGCTCCGGTGATCCTTCCGCCTCAGCCTTTCAAGTAGCTGGAACTACAGGCATACACTACCATGTCCGGCTAATTTTTTGATTTATTGTAGAGATGAGGTCTCGCCAAGTTGCCCAGGAGGGTCTCAAACCCATGGACTCAGGCAATCCACTCACCTCAGCCTCCCAAGGCGCGGGATTACAGGCTGAGGCACCGAGCCTGGCTTGGTTGTTTCAGTTTTTCACTACATAAACAAATGCTGCACTGACCATCCCCATATAACTGTGTGCATACACGTGCTAGGATGTCTATAGGATAAATTCCTAGAAGTGAAATTGCTGGATCAAAGGGTATTTGCATATATATTGTTAGAATTCTCACCCCTAATATTGTACCATTTATGCTCTCATACACAAAGAGACCATTAAGGCCATTTGTTATTACCTCTCTGCGCTTGGCTTCATTCTTCCTGTATTTGTTGAAGCAGTGGCACAGGATGTTCCCACAGCAGCAAGCCACGTGCACTAGGGGGCCCTCTTTGCCCAGGCTCAAGCCAGATGACACTGCCAGCACCAGGGTGATGGTTTTGATAACCAGGGTCCACTTACCCAAATAGCCCCTAATAATGAAACCACTCAAGATAGTTTTTATCTGCAAGTCAAACACAGAGAGATTGAATATAGACTAAGGAAACCACCAAAGCTAAGAAGCAAAAATCTGAACCTCATTATAGAAACCACACCTTTTGAATAAGTGACATATAAATACAACCTCCAGTGATCTTGATTTGGGAGGGAGCCCAGAAGTCCAGAAGCCCAAGAAACCAAGGACTGTTCTTCAAGCTTTTATGTTTCCTCTTTTTGGGGGGAGGGGTGATAGCTAGGCAAGAAGGTATTGTAAGTTTGAGAGTGTGTATATATGGAGAAAGGGGAGGCGGAGAGGAAGGGATAAGTGTTTTCCTTATGTTACAAAATGCTGGCCCAAGAGGCATTTTCTGAGAGGGTAAGGGTAATGTCTCTGAAACAACCTTAAAGTTTAGGTATAGCCTTGAGTTCCTGGCAAAGAAATTTGTGACTATTACTTGGTCAGGTAACACAGCTGGGCAAAGTCATCCTGGTATCCTAAAATCTCAGGGATTTCAGTCACTGTCAAGCAATCTAATTCAAAAGTAGTTAGAAATAGGGGTTTATTTCTTCTGCTCTAACAAGGCTGATGATATACCACTGTTTTTTCAGGTCAGAATCTTGGGATCTACCCTGGGGGCTTTCTTGGGTAAGGAATAGGGAGGTCTTCGGCAACCGAGTAACTAGAACCCTTAGGAGGCTTAGAATCAACTCGCTTTAAGTTCAGGTGGCCCAGGCTGAGAGAAGACTGAAGAAAGATCTAGAAAGGACTTAGATGGCCTCAGAATCGGATCCTGTTTAATATTCACCAAATAATGGTTTATGCTGGAACACATACTGAAAGATTTCAACTAAAAAAGATCCATATTTTTACCACTTATAAACCATTTTCAGAGACTCACCTCAGGAATTCCAGAGCCACAGGCATAAGGCGCAAACACCTTGACAAGAGATACAGCAAGGAAGGCAAACAGGAGAGCCCAAAGGACGTACATGAAATAATTGACTATGTAGGCAAAGGCTCCCTAGAACAAGGGAAAAAAAGAAGCTTGTTTTAGTCTAGACAGCCTCAGTGAGGTATGCAGTTCTTCTGAGTAATGGTTTTCCAGGAGAAAAGGTCACAAAGAAAAAGACCAACATTAAATTGCTCAAGATGTTTCTTTCTAGATTGTCAGCAAAACAACTACTGAAACGCTGTCAAGTCACTTGGTACTGAAAAAAAGATGCTTTGTTACACCCAAAGGAAATTTACAAAGGATTCTGATGGAGGAGCACCCTTAGAAGATGCATCCTAAGAAGGAAGAGCAAATTGCAAACCCTTAAACAAAATTTACTTTCTTTTCTTTTTTTCTTTCTTTCTTTCTTTCTTTTTTTTTTGAGCTGGAGTCTCACTCTGTTGCCCAGACTGGAGTGCAGTGGCCGCTCCCGGCCACTGCAGCCTTGACCTGCTGGGCTCCGGTGATCCTTCTGCCTCAGCCTTCCAAGTAGCTGGAACTATAGGCATGCGCTACCACACCCAGCTAATG